CCCTCTCCTCCCTCACCCTCTCCCTCTCCTCTCTCCCTCTCCTCCCTCCCCCTCTCCTCCTTCTCCCTCTCCTTCTCCCTCTCCTTCTCCTCCCTCCCCCTCTCCCTCTCCTCCCTCTCCAAGTGGTGGGCCAAACACAGAGTTGGGACAGGGGAGAGGGGTACAGAAGAGAGGTGTAACTTGCAGTGTCCCAATCCCAGCTCCACAAAGCAGGGTAGAGAAGGCTGCATTTGGAGTAGATAAGATAATTCCTTAATAATAGCTACACATTGTAGGTGTTTAAAATATTTGGTTCTCTCAATTTAATGAGATTTGCATATAAAAAATCATCGGAGCCAGAGGCTCTATACCAAGGTGCCTGGTTACTTCCTAGTAGTTCTTAGAAGAGTTACTGCTCCATGAATTGACTGCCCCTCGATGGCTTTCTGGGGTCCAGCATCTATGTACAAACAACCCTAAGATATAAACTCTGTGAAGCCAGGAATTTTGTCTGGTTTTGTTCACTGCTGTAGCTTCAGTGCCCAGAACAGTGAGGGATAAATTCAAATAGGCATTGAATTAATATCTCCAAGATTGAGATTGTCGCCTTAAGAGCCAAGTGAAAGTTCTAGCATGTAGGACTGTTGTTTTGCAAATATGACCTGTGATCATAGTTCAGAGTTATCGGGGGCCTCAATATCCGTGTGAGGTAAGCTCTCTAAGGCTATAAGGAATGGACCAGCATCTAGGTTACTTTGATTAATAGGGATTCATGATACATAAGGAGTGAAAGAAGGAAACAGGCCCAGTCATGTGTAGCCAAGCCTTACGGAGATTCAGGACACAGCACTAACCTAGGGACTCCATTATCTGTGGCTCCCTCAGCATCAGGCATCCATTGCTCCCTGTGCTGATGTTTGTGTTACAGTAACTCCTTCCTCTCCCTTCTGCTTCTACTGTTCTTGACAGTCCCAAGCCACTTCTCTCCCCTTACCATTTGTCTACTCAAGCTTTTATTTGCCCCATGGTTTACGGTTATTCTCGGCTTCTCTTTTGCCCCTCATTCCTTGGAGTTTTTCTCCTTCTTTGTTACTGTCTTTGTCTCTTTTTCTGTACAGCTCACTCCCTAAGAGAAGACTCAGTGAGGGCGCCTGGGTGGCTCAGACGGTTAAGCGTCTGCCTTCGGCTCAGGTCATGATCCCAGGGTCCTGGGACTGAGCCCCGCATCGGGCTCCCTGCTCGGCGGGGGGCCTGCTTCTCCCTCTGCTTCTCTCTCTCTCTCTCTCTGTCTCTCATGAATAAATAAATATATAAAATCTTAAAAAAA